ACTTAATAGATCGTCCATATAAAACTCTTCTTCTAATGCTTGCTTAGTCCTGGTTGAAAACTTGTGACCCTCGTCTTTCGCCAATTGCTTTAACGTCATCATCGCAAGGAAAGGTGCTGCCTTTGTGCCATAAGTGACGGTTGTTAAGTTATATTCTTGTAGTGTATGGTTGGTGCTGCTGGTTGATGATTGGTTTTGATCTCTCCAGATGATTCTATGAAGGTTTTGATCTTCTTGATGTAATTTGATCTGCCTGAACATCTTTTCTATGTCGGCAGTGAAAGCAATTTTGTACTGTCTCCAGCTTAAAATCAATGATAACAAATCTTTCTGTAAGTTAGGTCCGCTAAACATTAAATCATTTAGACTATGGCCCGATGACGTAGGCGATGACGCGTTGAACACAACTCGCAGTGCAGTAGTTGAAGAATCGGCGCGAATGACGCAATGATGCGGTAAGTAACACGTTGGTGTCTGGTTACCGGTGCCTTTGTTTACTTTTTGCATGTGGCCGAGTTTTATATATTCATTTATAAATGCTTGATAGTCGTTAGATAATGATTGACTTTTTATAAACCTCTTCTCCAAATTTAAAAATTGTGTAACTGCTTTTTGTTTAGATTCTCCCAATAATTCCATTGCGTTTGGTTTCATTGGAATTCTAACGATGTAACGACCGTCCGTTTGTCGTATTGTTTGTTCTGTAAATTGTTGAACACAATAATGATCATCTAATGACGTAGATTCAGGATTATCAGCGATGTCTTCGACTGCCCAAAATCTTTCAATGTCGTCGATATTGTTCAAGATCACGTTGCATTGATATGTCTTCACGTTACCACATAATAACCACCCGAGCTGGGTCTGTTGCGCAATTGGTTGTGATTCATTATCTCCTTTAATGATTCCTCCCAACATGATAAGGGAATAGATGTCTGCACCTAGTAATAGATCTACAGGTCTACTGATGTAAAATTCAGGATCCGCTAATTTGATGTTTTCAATATACGACCATGATGGCTTAGGGAATGATTGATTAGGGAGATTATTTATGAGATTGTTCATTATGATGACGTCGGTGTTGAAGGTGAAGTCGGTATGTAACGCCGAAGCTGTTATTTTGATAGAACCCTTGCTGTTGTTCTCTTGTGCGCCTAATCCGAATACAACACCTCTACAGCGATGACGGGGTAATCGGAGTCGTTGTGCTGCGTTCTCAGTGATAAGAGATATCTGCGAGCCTTGATCGATAAGAGCTCGCATGGTATGAAGTGTACCGTCTGCTGCCGATACTTTGATTACTGCTGTTGAGAGAAGAATCTCCGAAGACTTTTGTTGTGATACATTGACGATATCGGTTGTCTTGATATCTGAATGGCTTGATTTAACGAATGCGTCATGTAGCAATGTATTATGTTGTTTCATACATTCACTACATGTTTTTGTTGAGATGCATTGTTGACCCTTATGATCGTATAAACAGTTGATACAGATGCGGAGGCTGTGAATAGTTTGTAATTTCATTTCATTTGGCAGTTCTAGAAATTCCTTGCAGTTAAAAATGCCATGTTTTCCTTTGCAATGAGGGCATCGAAATGCTGATGAAACATATAATGCTTTTGCAATCGGCTTGTTCGATTGATAGGTATTATTTGCAGTATATTTATTGTAATTGTAATTATATTGTTGATTAGGCTTTTTTGGTATAAATGACATGTTTTGTGAAGTAGATTTTTGCGTAATATTGTCTTGTTTCCGTTTAGAAGCTTCTAGAGAAGTAAATTTATTTTCTAGAAAATCAAAAAATTCTCTTAATGACGGTAACTCTCGTGGACTTTTTAGTGATTCAATGTAGTCCTTATGCGTTTCAGCGTCCAGTTTCTGCGATAGTATATGAACCACGAGAGGATCCCAGGAACTGATGTCCACTCCGAGCGATTTTATGGCGTTCAGACACTCATTGGCAGTGTCATGAATCTTTTTGATAAATGGTGCTGTTTGATGTTGCATTACTGGCAAACTCATGAGAATATTGATGTGCGAACTAAATATTAATTTGGTATTGTTGAATCTATGGTTTAAAATATCCCAACATATTTGATAGTTTTCAGTGCTTATGTTTAGGTGTTGAATGAGCTTTTCAGCTTCTCCTTTTATTTTACTTTTCAAGAATTGCATCTTTTGAGCATTTGACATAGATCGGTTGTTGTGAATAGCCTCCAAAAATAAATCTTTAAATGAATTCCATTTATGATAGTCACCACTGAATGTAGGGATGTCCATAGTTGGTGTAGAATGTGCTCTAAATGATGCTGACCACATTTTTTGATTTAGAACCTTTTTGATGTCATTATATTCTTTTTCATAGATATTGAATGTACGCTCGTATTCTTTGTCTTCTTCGTATAGCTCAGTATCGATCTCCCAGTGTAAATTATCGATAGCAGCCCACCGAGATTCGATGTGTTTTAAAATATCTTCGAACTCCCATTTCTCTGAGATATCTTGCAAATTGATGTTAGTGATCGTGCGAGAGAACGCCTTAAAATTACTTTTTTGCTTGCGTAGCATTTCATCTAATTTACTGCTAGTGCTACTGCTCCTGATTTCTTTTGCTTGATTATTATTTGATTTCCTTTGCGGCACTGGTTTTGCTGATGCATCTACAAAGGTGTCGTCAGCGGAAGGGCCGGCGACTGTGGGCGGCGGCGGCGGCGTAACTGATGATCTGGATGGAGGCGGTGTGACAGAACCTCGGCTGTCTAGAGCTGCTGATGATTTAAGCCTCGATGATTCAATCTCTAATAATTTGCCCAGTTTAGGTTTCTCCGGCATCGTTTGTACAGAAGGATCTTCAGTATATAAACAATAGAACTCTAGGTATCGATTTAATTCTTGATAATAATCCTTTGTTCTTTGATAGTAATTATTCTTAAAATAATCTTGTTCTTTGATATGGTAATCCATAAGCTGTGTATGATTGCTGTTGAATTCATTCCAGTAGGTTTGCAGTGTTACTATGCGCCTACGGATATTAGAATAGGTCTTGCGTTCTGGCCCATCCTTCTTAAAGTTGATATACAAAGTTTCAATACTTTGCATAAGCTGATATTGCTTGGCAATGATATCTTCCATTCTTGATTTTTGATTGATTACTTATCACACCAGGAATGTAAGTTCCACGTGTCAATGCTAGTTCAAATACCTCACGCAACGATTTAACTCGACTTCACTCGTAATCAAAACGCACTCGCGAGGTCCATAAATCGAAGGACCATTAAGTTGTATGGTGTTTCCTTACAACTTAAAATGATAATAGATTTGATTGATTGATAAACAGTTTATTGATATTAAATGATATGCTAAATTATAATATTGAGTACACGCGACAAATGCTAATTGTGAACTGAAAAATATTGCTTATGTGCAAATTAAAAAACTATAAAATAAATTACATTTACATAAACGCTGAATTAGTACAATGTACGGTCATTCACCGTACAGTTATATTATATTAAACTCTAAACACACATATTAATTTAATGGCAGAAATTACGAAGGTTTTCAGATTCACATACACAGAGACGCATGAGTTCGGGCGCTTGTGCACTACACTGAATTTTCAGGTCCGGCGGCCGGACCGGAAAAAATCAGACCGTCGGGCCTGAAAATTCAGTGTAGTATCGCACATCGCGTTGACACTGTAATGCAGAAAGACTATATCTGTCAACATCCTCAGACAGTATGACAAAAAAATATCAAAGTGGGCTCTCTTTTCCCTATATATACAGGTGTAACATTATGAACAGTCAGTATGGGAAATTATTAATCTGTTTTGAGTAAGCATGTCATTGATTTTAGGGAAAAGAAAAACTACATTTATATAATAAATTCTAGTTCTCTATTTTGTAATCGATCCCGGATGTTTTGAAAATTTTTTTTTGTTATTTTTTTTACTATTATTGAAATTGCATTATTTTTACATAGATACCGATTGTGTATGTTTTAAGAAGTTAATGTTACTATGAAACATGATGTCCAAAATTTATAAATTGCATTGTTTTTTATTACATTATATCTTTTATTTTAGTACCTAGTTATCTTTTATGTTGAAATGACAACCATATTTTTTTTATTACAACATTAAATTTGTTTAGATGCGTAAAATTGTCTAATTTTGTTTTAGACATCATGTTTCATAGTAACATTAAATGCTTATGACTTTCACAATCGGTATCTAAGTAGCAGTAAGTTTTATTTTTCAAAAAGTCCGGGTGTCGAACCTGGAGTAAGAAGTAATTCAATTACACCCTATTTACTTAACTCGCTGATTTGACGCGCGCATTTGAAGGCATCTTCAATCAAATAAAACCATCAATAACGTATGACTTGTCATCTTGATTGTCTCCGGTATCCATTAGAACGGCTACTCCTACCTTTCTTCCCAAATGACCGTCCCTTTCTCACTGATGCATACCTATATGACAAACGTCTCGACGGTGGGGGCGCGATTGAAATAACACGTAATGCCTATGCCTAACGGATAGACGAAACATCGTACCGCTTCGCTCCGTAGCGATACGTTATATTTTGTTCCTAATTTCATTTAATTTTAAACCCTAATATGCAGCCAATTTTGTAGTTAATTTTATTTCTTTATTTTATTTATTTAAGTTAAACTTACAGCTGTAATTACACCATAGAAATTAATTATACGTCTATAAACCATATACAAGGGTTCACTTATAATAACGGAATGAAAAAAGGGAAACAATGCTATCAACAATGATATTACAATAGATAAATAATAATTAAACAAACAAATTAAATTACAAATTCAAACACTGTGATCGAAGTAGGAGCTGGCAATCATTACCCTTATAAGTAGTCTATAAAATTAGACACATCCTGAGAAGCCATAGTGATGTATACCGTGCGCTCCTCGTGTCAGGTTCCAGCAGCGTCTGGTGGAGATAATGCGCCACAGCCACGTGGCGTGGATGTCGCTGGGCACGCGCGTGCAGCGGGAGGGGTTCCGCGCGCGCGTCACCAGGATACTGCAGGCGTGGGCCGACTGGGCCGTGTACCCCACTGACTTCCTCATGCACATCAACGACGTGTTCCTGGGACTGGACAAGGTTAGTATAGTACTTTTATTCGTCAACATTGTTGAATAAAATAGATTGAAAATCGATAGTGACGAAAATGAAAATGAAAATATCTTTATTCAAGTAGGCTTTTGAATCGTCCAAAAAAAATATTTTCCCCTACCACTTGTTCAGGACGTCTTTTAGCTGACAAGAACAAGCTATATATAAATAACAGTCTTTGCAACACTTACAGTTTTAATTAATGTTGTCGTCCACATATCGTCTATAAAAAAGAAAGTAGTTCAAGCAAAAGATTTTACAAGAAACCACACATACACATGAATCACGAAAAGAATTATAAATTAAATAATAACAAAAAGTAATAACAAATATGGATTATCGATTAGTGAATATCGACGCTGGAAAGCAAACACGTAGTAACCTGAAAAACCAAAATAGATATTTAGAGTGGAAAATCTTTATATTCCATAAAAATATATATATCTTATTTCCGTATAAATTGACTAAGTAAAATCTTATTTGTTCCCATAGACGTTTATAGGAACTATTTATCAAAATAAACAAAAGTTTTTCAGCTCTGAAGAACAATTTTGATTTTGCGGGTTACTACGTGTTTGCTTTCCAGTGTCGATATATACTTTATTATTTTCTTTACTACTCTTTGCTTTACCCTTTTCGTAAAGCTCATGAACTCTTTATATAAACAAACAATGATTAAACGCTCCAACCTTAGTGCCATGCGAGTTTACGTGTGGAATATCATAAAATATTATTTAAAAAGCGAATAAAATCAAGATACCCAATGAATATTAGTAGTTTATTATTCTTTTCATATGCGCTCGCCGTTTTCCGCTAAAGCTTAAAGATAGGTACGCCACCGTAAGCTGTATGCTAAAACAATTACAGCAATTTTTATTTTGCCAACCGGTTATGCAAAAAGTGGTACATCAAAGTATACGTATATGGAATAAGAACATTATTCGACAAGTAGAAATCTCAGCTGGAACACCTGGCGGCGACGACGCTACACCCTCGATACTTCCATATACTGAAGGACCGACCGTTAGCTAACCATTAGACGATTATTCTGGATCGCGATCAGATCTAAGTTGCGGGTCGAAAATTAATTTATTTGAATAGTATTTGGTCCATTACAATCTACCATCAACACTCAATCGATCTGACGTCAGATCGATCATCTAACCGTGAAGGAGTTTCGGGCTGGCCCCGTGTATCACCTTCGTTGAGAGAGACATCGCTATTTTTTAGGGGGTAGGCCCCAACTCATTGACTAGAAATTTTCCCGGGGGCGGGTCCGCAGGCATGTATTTCGTAGCGTTCAAAAAAAGGTCAATCATCTAATGGTCCGATTAAAAAACTCACAATTTCTCGGACACCCGATTGCACGTCGGGCTACCGCAATATGTCAAATTTCTTCAATTTGATTTAGAACTCGATCAACAATGTGGTTAAGGTTTAAAATCGAGTGTTATCGAATGTTATCGCGTAGGAGACTAGCGGAGAGGGCGGAGATAGTGCGGAGGGCGGCGCGGAGGCGGCGGGCGGGCAGGCGGGGGGCGGGGCGGGGTCGGACGCGTCGTCCCCGGGCTCGAGCTCGTCGGCGGAGTGGGGCGGGGGCGGCGCGGGCCCGCTGGACGGCGCCGCGCTGCGCCGCCTGGCCGCCACCCACCAGCCGCCCCACGCCCACGCCCACCCCCACCCCCACGCCGCGCACACGCCGCCACACGACGCCGACGCGGACATCGACGGAGTGCCAGGTCACTACATATAGTCTTCGATATAGTTCTAAATTATTGCAGCACACGTTGGATTGTTTCTCTTGCATCGAATAGAAGACCGAAACTACTGGACCGATTTTGAAAATTGTTTCACCTCCGATAAGGGGTTGTCTATTAATCACGTGATGTTTTTTCAACTCTTTTTGACACTCCCCCATCCCCCTTGGTATACATGGTGAGTTTTAAGACTAACCCCTCCCCCCTTCATACAGATCACGTGTATTTTTTAATATCAACAAAAATCTATAAAACAAATACACGTGATATATTGTGGTATTTCGTGGTTTTTGACAACTTCCCCCCTCCCCCCCTAACGAGCCTCACGTGATTAATGGACAGCCCCTAATATATATGCGGGAGACGTAGGGAAACGGCTAGTTAAATTATAATGTTACACTTCTGTAGAACATAAACTATCAAAACTGATCAGGAAACTGGTTCTTTCGGATAATTGAACTGTATCAACCCTACCTTAGATATCAGAGCTGGATTCGAACCACATATTTATATTTTTTTAAGATAGGATTAAAGCCCAGGCGTCATCAAAATCAGAAGAAATTCTATTTAATCCGTAAATGTCACATAACTGAACTATTATTATTGTAACAGTGGACGAAGACATCGACGGTGTGCCGCTGGAGGGCGGGGGCGGTGCCGGGGCGGGGTCCCCGGGGGGCGCGGGCGCGTTCGTGCCGTCGCGCTGGGAGAGCGTGGACACGCCCGCCGGCGACCCCGCGCCCCCGCCCCCGCCCCCGCCGGCGCCCCCGCGCGACCCCACGCCCCCGCCCGCTGACAGGTAAACCGGCATCTACAGCAGACACCTTGTGGTGTCCGTTTTTGTTTAAAATGAAAACTGGTGCTTTGTAATTACTTTAAAAAATAATTTGCATTTTTTTGCTTTTACCACTTGTGCGCATTTAAGCTATTACATCGATTTAGTGTACATTAAAAATGAGCTGCTTTCGGTTGGTTTTGTAGTAGTAACGTACGGGTACGCTCCAAATATTACAAAATACGTCGCAATACTCGGAGTTTTGTTGTGACAGTGAACACGTAATTTTATAATATTTTTTTGATAAAAGATATTTTCAAAATACTTTTTACACAGGGATATTAATTTAAATACTTTTCGATTATTCTCTCTCTCGGTAACTAGATTATACATATACTGGAACACAGTGATTGCCTCGAATACCCACCGGACGTACAATCAACCGCACGTTATACAGTATACTATACAGAACTGTAAAATTTTCCCAGTAGATTTTAAACCTTAATTTTTGCAGTTTGTAGAAGTCAAAATCTATTGGGTACAACTGACATAATTTTGGGAATTTGACGCACAGCCGTGTGTACTTTCGTTGCTAATTAATTTATTTTTATTATTATCGAGTCTGGTACCCGATACAGATGGTTTTTTATGTAATAGTTGATACTTAAGCCTCGCGTCCCCTCCGACGCCACCCCATCATGCTTGCAACTGCTTTTTTCTTCCGTTTCATGAAAAACGCATCACGTTAACGTACATCGATCTAGTAATGTGTTCTCTGTGGACAGTGGCACGTTGTCCGGTGAGGAGCATTTGTTGTCACGTGACACGTTGCGTGAGATCGAGGTGCGCGTGCTAAAGTACGCCGACGAGCTGGAAGCGGGTGCGAGAGCGAGACGGAACACATTAGCGCCGCAACAACAGATACAGCACTACAGACGGAAACTCATCAAAAAGGTAATAACACTCATTTGTCTGTGGAACTCTACGGGGTGGCGCCATCTACATTACATTTCCGAATAAACATCGAGCAAAGAAGGCGGCCATCTTGTAAAAGTGATCAGTTGAACCGCACACAATCACGTCTTCCATTATAATAACCATTTGTTTGCTTTATGAACTTAAATCTAAATATTCTTTAATTATTTCCTTATAAATTAATTCATGCCACTAAATGAGATAATTTTATTTATTATTACCAACTTCATAGGCTATCTCATTTAGCAAAGAAATCGGTCGTTGGTTGAAATTTTTAAATATTAGTCCATAACAAATTTTTGATAGTAAAAATTAATAAGATTATGTATTGACCTGGTAAGCCCTCAGTAGTTGTCTAAATTGCTATATGATCAAATGCCTTCTGAGGTTGTGGAAACAAAGTATTATGTGCCTTGAAATAGGAACAAAAATAAAGCCCGAGTTTCATGTTTGTTCTTACACTAGAATTTTCTGGTTTATTGAAAAGTACAAACATTATAATTGACATTGGTTACCATGGTTACATTAATATGTCGAATTTTTGTAACTTATTCTTACATTTGCCTGTAACAGAATTAAAAAAAAAATTATCAGACTGACAGGTCAACCAAAATGAATTACAAGACTTTTAAAAACGACCAAATTCAATATCATTTAGTTGGTCTGGCCCTGCTGTATCCCAGGCTTTCCCCCAAAAGAGGATGAACGGAGGGCGATTACGGTAGATACGTTAAGCATTCCGTTACTAGAAAAAAAATATGTTAAAAGCACTAGTGAATGCCATCGCATCGCAAATCTACGGCATTAGACTTTGTACTAAGAAGTACGAAAATCTTTGGGCACGGGTCCGATTGGCACTTGGCTGGATTTTTCTCCCTATCTTATTGAATACAGAGAAGTCCAAAGAAAAAAACACTTCATTAGAAAAGCATAACATTTGTATATTAACTTTTTTACTTATTTTGTAATAAGGCTGTGAAGGAAGCTCGAGCGGCACGCGCGGCGGAGGAGACTCGAACATCGCCCGAACCGAGACGACGCTCGCCCGTCGACGAAGACACGTACTCGTAACTATTACTATATTACATTGTAACTGTCAGAGGCATTAGCTGTGTAAAATAAACGCAATAGGGTATTTGAAACTTTCCTGAAAACTATTTTTAAATCATTGTTTGATATATTATAAATACACTGTCAATGTATTGCATGGGAATATGTTCTATTTTCAATTGTGAAAGTTTAAATAGCCCAAGTCTGGCAAAAAAACGCTGCTCTATGTAATGGTGTTGATCACGTGGTATTTGTGACGTCATACGCCAGTAAATATGTTAAGGCGACATGTTAACAAATAGTATTACCGAAGAGAAATTCAAGTTAAATTTTATGTTTTTCATTTGTATCTAATCTGGTTTTGTGTATAAAAATGAGCTAAAAAAATGGCATGTATAAATACAAATTTTGCGTATTTTTAATAACTGTTATTCACAATTGACTAATACTAAGTGTAAAACAAAGAAATAATACCTTAATATGAGATAATGCTCTTAAAGATCACCCGTTGATTATAAGTGATTTTGGCTGAATAAAGTAAACATTTACTAATCGCTGAAAACTTTTTTACAGGACCTCTTCAAAGAAATCAAAGAAATCGCGGGAACCCTCGTTGTCACCGCCTCCAAAGCGTTCAAGGCACACGTACGCTTGCTTGTTTATTTATTTATTGTATACTTCTTATATAAATGTACAATCCTGGATAATTTTCTTGTATGCAAACTTTATCCTGAGAATAAGGAACACATAAAACAGAATCATCCAATTTGTTTCAGTCGTTCGGAAGTTATCTACGTACATACATTTCGGCGATTCATTTTTATGTGATAAACAGTTTAACTAATTTCTGTACAGCAAATAATCTTATATTTTTTGTGTTATAGTGACAGAAAATCACGATCAAGATCCAGATCTCGGGAAAGAGAGAGGGAGCGAGAACGATCCCGCGAACGCGAACGAGAACGAGAGAGAGATAGAGAGAGGGAACGCGAACGAGAGAGGGAGAGAGAACGAGAGAGGCGGAGACGTTCACCCGCCACGCCTCCCGGACACCATCACAGAAAGCACGCTAAACATGCCAAATACAAATACTGATGGATCTTTAATTTAAGTGTAAATAGAAATATAAGTATTAAAATTGTCTGCTTGTTTTTTTATTCATCGTCCTGAAGGAGGGTGATATTGTTTGGACTACGTAGAAGTCAAGAGATATCCCAAAATGAGCTGTGTCAACTTGACAGACCCATCTGGGCTTGCAGTTACGTGGTAGAGCCACAAGACTATGTACTATATGTAAATAGTTCATAATTAGCGAGTTTTGTTAATTTTGCAAAATGCCAGTAATTTATTCGTGTTATAAAAAATTATATTTAGTGACTGGCTGGACTTATAGACATATGAATTTTAGCATCACACAAAATCTACCAAGAAACAGACTGCCACTACTGGACACGATTCATCCCGTTGAAGGAAAATTTACCTTTTATGTAATTATGGCTGATCTATGCCTAGATTTAATCCCCGAAAAGAGAAGTTTTATAAGTTTAATCTTGTGTCTGTGGCACCGTTTTTTATCGTAAGTCTTGGTCATTGCGGCGTTCTTTTTATGAAAATCGGGTAAGCAGTTTAAGAGCTACAAACACTTTGTCAAAACGTAGCTACTTTTTTTAAAATGAAAACTATATTTTGGCTTATCTTTATAATCATATAAAATAAATATCTCCAATTGTATTGAATTATTAATGGAAGTACGTAGTGTAGAAGTCACTTTCGAGTCACATTTTTTTGTTATTTATAATACGAATCGTATTTCTAATGTGCTTACTAGCTGGACGTATAGCAGACCACTTGACTTACACTGGAGATCATGTATGAAAAGAATAATGAAAGTGAAGGGCGTGAAAGATGTTAAGTCATGTCTTGCTTGTGGCGCTCGATTCTTTGTCTGCCCTGCCTGTATAGATAATCTCATATTATCTACAATTTTCAATAACAAAAATAACGCTTTAATGAGTAACAAAAAGGCGGCCTTATTGCTAAACACCAACATCTTCCAGGCAACCTATTGTACATATTAGAGTTGTGCCGAATATTCATTTGGTATTCGGAATTCGGCATCTTTTTCATAATAAAATTATGTCTCATTTAAATAATAACCTACACTTAACCTTCACCACCACACCACCAGCCCTTTTACGTCCCCACTGCAGGGGCTCAGGCCTTCCTTATGGATGGTTAAGGAGGATGGGCCATGACACTCCACGCTGGCCCAATGCGGATTGGAGGGTATTGACGACTGCAAATGCAGCCGGGACCAACGGCTTAACGTGCCTTCCGAAGCACGGAGTAGCTCGAGATAATAATTTTTTGGTCACCCATCCCGTGACCGACCCTTGCGAAAGTTGCTTAACGACTACGATCGCGGGCCGCGGCGCTTATCCACTACGCCACCGAGCTACTCCTTTGCCAACACTAAACCTTCGCCCAACTTCAATTGCAGTTTCTCGAATGAGTTACTTTTGATATAAGTATTATTTGAAATTTTATTCTTCATATGGGTTATGCTTCCGCAATCATTGTTCGCTATAGTTGAGACGGGTTCAATGCTTGGGCGAATGAATGAAAAGCTGATTAAGCTTGAGAACTTGATTTTATTATAAGATAATAAAGGGAAAAGAAAAACCCGTTTCTGGGTTTTCTGTAATATATAAACTTCGAAGATATGTCACGAAGATATATTTTTAGATTAACAATTTTCTTATTCAAATTATAATAACTTAATTATTATTAACTTTTTTATATATAAATTTATATGATTACATTATCATGTCAATGTCAATACATTCATAAAGAGCATATTGGATTATATTAGATATTAGGATACATAGGACGAAATAAATGTGGGTACGGCACACCGTTACAATATCAGGGGGGCCTGGGTAACGAAAATCTGAAGGATTTTTTTGAAGGATTAAAAAAAATCAAATGGATTTTTTAGATATTCTTAGGTTATTCAAGCTTAAATTATTTTATATAAATAGGGAGCAATTAGAAACATTAGCTAAATAAAAATAATGAAATGGTAAATCGAAAAATGCGGCCGAATATCCGGTACGCTTTATGTTAAACCGAATACTATTCGGTTATTCGGTGAAACCACTATTCGGCGAGTCGCTAGTACATATTATTGGGATATGAATAAAAGTCGTTTATTATCAGTAAAATTTTATTTAAATTTCTATGGGTATTGTAAAAATAAACAATAAAAACTCGATTCTAAATAAAACTCAATAATATACATAAAATTATTAATTTAAAATATGCTTTACCTACAGAGCTAATTGGAAATACACCCATTGTTGTTTTTTATAAACCAAACAACTAAAAGGTTAAAACAATATACATTGTAGCGGGCATATAGGTAGATCTATGCTACATACAGGTGAATTTACAACTAACCTTGTGATTTTGCAGTAAGTAAATAGTAATCTCATACATTTCACACGAATAAGAAAAAAATATCAACTACCATTCCCAATTATTGCCTATATCTTGAGTTAGGCCCTACGGTATAAACTATAGGCCTCGCGTAGTTAGATCAGTGACTAAACATCGTAGAGTATATCATAGATAAAGTAGAAGCATCATGCGTTGCGGTGTAAATAACATGAATATCATAGTAACATATTCTGAACATATATAGGGATGACAACTTGGTAAAAAAAATATATATTCTATTTAGTCTGTCAGTCATCAGTATTTTTTTTTGCTTCAATTTAAACAAGAAATGGCCTAGATAGTAAGCATTATCGTTGAAGAGTGAGGATTTACTACTTCACTGTTTTGTAGAAAATGTACAAAAACGTGACGTCATACGACATTTCAAATCAATTAATTGCCATTATCAATAAGTTAAGCAAAAAGTAAACAAATCGCGTTTAATATTCTTAAATAGTCACCCGACGAACAGATAAAAAAGATAGTAATCACTTATTGAAGTCTAACGTTTGGTTATCCAAAACTGACGTCCTACAGTTGATTTTAAATCTTAATCCTATATAATTAAAGTCCTAATTGTATTCTAAAAAAATATTGCTCTGATACATCTTGTTCGTATGATTATCACAAAATGGGATGAAGATGGTAACCACATTGTAGCGTTATTTTCGTTAAAACTGAATGTACATGATTGCTTTATTCCAGGACTATATCATACAACGAGATCTATGGAAAATGCACACTAATAGGAGTGAATAATGCATGTACACTATTTGAATTGTTTAAAATAAAAACCTTTATTTATATAAAAGATAGGCCTTTATTTATTGGGCATGGCAGTTATAAAAATTATTTAAAAAGTTTCAAATTATTTTTATTAATTCATTAAAAAATTAGCTAGATTCATGAGAGAGCCGAAATCAATATTGAGCATAATAGTCATGTATGTAAAAAATAAAGTTTAATGAGGATAACACATGAAATATAAAGACACACACACACATACACATTCATAATAACATGACTAGCTGCTAATATAGTAAAATTTCATTAAAAGTAAAAATAATAATAATGTATGAATACATTCCCCGCTTAAATAAGACAACTAAGATAAATAGCATGGGTATCATGAGTAACTTGAAATAAGACTCGAGAAACGTGTCAATAGTGAGATGTGCCCATAAAATCTCGTTCGTTTTTGAGTCTCTCTAGTTCATTATACCATGCGGGCTGGTGTAATTTTGCAGTCACTAAATATAAGTGACAACAATGTTTTATTTTAAAGCTAAAAAGATTCAACATCCTCTCTAGGTCTTTACGAAACGTATATATATATATTTAATCATATTGATAAATTAACATGTTAATAATTCCTAATATAAATGTAAAAAAATGAAAATCTAACAAATCATTAATACTGACATGATATACCTGTTTATGTTTATTAATATTAAAAAAATAATAAGAAAAAAAAACAAACTTGACAACAAGCTTAAAATCTGCTATTGGTTGACTAAGATTCATAGCCTATGTAATACTAAAAGTACGTTAATATTTGGACATTATTAATGTTTATAATAAAATTTCAAATTTCTAAAAATTCATTGAAAATTTCTTAGTCAGAACTAACTACTTTTATTATGGTTATGTAGTGTCTGGAGATTATTAAAATGTACCCGTAGCACAGGAATGTATAAAAATATACGTGTGTAATCATTAATCACAATTTATGCAGATTGCATTATTATTCTTTTTATAAGTAACAACATTGTGTTCCTGATTGTTTTTGTCTTTTTTCGTTATGATTTACGCTTATTATAAATAACTGTTATATTTGTTGTTAATGTTTTAAATGTGTATAATATAAAGAACCAGTAAATACAGTGCTGTCTCATTCAGGCAAATTATTATTTGCATTGTCTTTTTATGCGTTACTCAGATGACGGATATCACGGATTTCTATATATATTACTCAGTCATAGATCGTATACAATTCTATTAAACAAAATTAGCGATAATTGTAGATTAAAACAGATAATCGCGGACAAAAAAGATCATTTTCTTTAACGGACAAGTTTAATGTCCGTAATCAGAGTATCGTTTTATAATAGGGTCGAAATTGGTCGACTCCAGTCATAAATCTACCATGTGTGACGACACTTATAATTGTGCGTACGATTTGGCAATAAGGCATTGGCTTTCTAACATTCTACTAGGTACCTTTGAATTAATCACAGGAACTAAAGCTGCTAAGCTAATATAATACTTAATGATATATAATTGTATTATTTAAATAATTTGTAAGCGACCACGAGTGCGAATATTTGTCTTTTAATAGACGAGGTTTTATAAGATTTACTCTTGTCTCGTCTGTCTCTGACAATTGACAACTAAACTCGTTGTCGAAATATCTATGCATAACACACTATATGTTCCCTAACTATAACGATAGTCCCGTATAATATTTGCATAATATAACTATCTTATTATCTTAATGAAGGCCATGGTTACGAAGTTAGCAGTATACACTTGACGTTTGTGTGTCATTCTAATATAGCTCATTATATGGCGAAAGCGTTAAGTATTATTATTTTTCTTGTAAAATATGAATGTTTGACGTGATATATTATAATGTAAAAAATATCCGGAAT